GATACTTGCCAAAAGAATAAAACAATAACTTCGGCTTTACTTTCTTATTTAAGTTGTTTTTGCATTTATACAGAAGAGAACAATATTTACGTTTGAACTAGGGTTGCGAACTTTTTTGCTTTTTCCTGCTGTTCTCCTTTTCGTAATGTCTTATGAAGAAACTTTTCGATTAAACTAACTTTTTCTGTCACAAAAAATCACCGCGCAACAGTTCTAGATTGCTGATCGTGCCACTTATCTGACAATTTTACACTACAGAAAGATCTGTCAACTTAAGAAAAAGAAAGTTTTACAATAGAATTAGTTCTCTCTGAAAGGGACTTATATTGGAAGCTGTGAATAATACCGTATGGGACTCAATTCAAATCCTGTTCCACTCTATTTCTAGGGAAATTTTTATTTACGATATACCAAAATTAACTAGATTTCAAGCAAAAAGATACAGAAACGAGTTAAATCATGTGTTGTTCCACGATATAGTGAAGACCCTTAGTTCTTGTAATATATACGTAATAAAATTTTTGAAACGTTTTTTAAAGTGTATTTCTTAGAACTATCTTTGTCAGAGAAATCCTTTATTTTGGTTATGAAATGATACAACAATTCTTGTAATTGTAACCAGACAGACCTCAATAAATGGAAGAGATTTTTATTCTCGTATATCAGTCATAAGTAGAACAATATATGTTCAGAAACACTACAGAAAAATGAATGTTCAAAGATCGTTCTTTCACAGTTTTTACTTAAAGTAGTAATAACTGTGGAAGAACGATCTTTGAACATTTATCTGTTTGTAGTGTTTCTGAACTTATATCGTTCTACTTATGTCTCACATATGAGAAGAAAAATCTCTTCCATTTATTGAGATCTAGTTTGTCACAATCATGAGAATTGTTGCATCATTCCATAACTAAAATAAGGAAGTCCTCTGACAAAGATAGTTCTAAGAAATACTCCTCACAAAATATTTCAAAAATGCTATTACGTATATATAAGAAGGATTAAGGATCTCCACTATATCGTAGAACAACGCATAATTTAACTCGTTTCTGTATCTTTTTGCTCGAAATTTCATCAAGTCTTGTATATCTGAAGTAGTTTTTGAGATCAAAAATCATTATTTTTTAGTTCGACTTTCTCAAAAAATAGTTCTGTATCTGATAGGATTGTGTGTTCTCACATTCTCTTAGTTCAACAAATTTTGTCTTAAGTTTTACTTATATATTCTAAACATGAAATTATATAACTAGACAATTTTGTAAAAATCTCGTCCTTCTCTCTCCAGGGTTGTCTTAATTCTCTCGATTTACTACTCTCGGAAAAAAAGCGATAATCCAGAAAACATTTTTCAAAGGCAGGTGTGAGTTGCCTAATGCGAGTTCGGATATAAATGGAGCTCGGGAAGCTGAATGCCACTTAGAAAACAAATGAAAAAAAAACAAGCAGCCTTGCACTAGCCAAAAACCTAAAGATAAATTTTATCTCAATTATAATTTATGGTCCAGATAAAAATTTATCTTTGGTTGTTCTAACTTGATAGTCTTATCCAAATTATAATTTATGATTCAGATAAATTTTATCTTTGACTGTTCAGCTGTGCTAACATGATAGCCTTATCTGAATTATGAACTATAATTCAGATAAAATTTATCTCTAGCTGTTTTACTGTTCTAACAAGATAACCTTAACTCAGTTATTATTACTAGTCTAGATAAAATTTATCTTTGATTGTTCAGCTGTTGTAACATAATAGCCTTATCTCAATTGTAATTTATGATTCAGATAAAAATTAATCTTTGACTTCTTGGCTACAATGGTGCCGATAAAGTTTTGGAAAATTTGGCTAATTTTCGAACTCGAATCAGGCATCTACTCAAGACGGAAATGTACTGGAAAGAGAACTTTGAAGAACAAAATTCGGGGCTGAGGATGTGAGTGTGGACTTGGGTGTGAGTGTAGGTATGGACCTGGGTTTGACAGAAGAAAAGACGTACGTCACAACCACGCCTTCTTCATGCGCTTTTTGGAAGTATAATGGGTTTTTAAAAGCAGTTTCACACGTAGGAAAGAGACAGATGGATGGTCGCTCAATCATATTTGAATTTATCGTTTCCAGTAGAATATATTCACTGTGAGAAATACGTAGTGTTCAGTGTTGTATATGTTCGTTTTTTGAATTCAGAGATGTGGAAAAAAGTGAGCATTCGAATCTACTTTCAGTAAACGAAATAAGTAAGATTGTAAGCAATATAAATTACAATGTGACAGTGTAAGTAATAAAAAGTAATATGACAGCGTAAGTAACAAAAAGTATTTGACAGTTTAAGTAATAGAAAAATACTTTTTTATTATAACTGTAGTTATGGTCACTCAAATATGTTCACTTATTAGTACTTTTTCTACTTTATGTAATGAAGCCCAAAGTACTCAATAGTGACTTTCATGAATCACATATTTTAGATGCGTAGTTTAGGATCTCTGAGCATTCGGAAACACCTGTTCGAAAACGCTTAGTGAATTTTCCAGGATACCTTTTCTTAGAGCGTAGGATCGTAAAGTTCTAAGGTTTGTCTATGATATAAATTTGGTTGAAAACAACTCGACTTTAGATGTATATTGAATTACATAGAGATTTATTGCCACGAGTGTATTGCAACCATGGCATGCCCAACCTTACTATATATAGTTCTAAATCTTACTGGTAAGTTACTATTCAGGGTGGGTGTGGATGCAAGTCCGAATAAAATAATGATACATTCGGTGCTACTAGTACAATCAAAAATAATGAGAAACATTACAAGCGAGGTGCTTTTTTTATGAATGGAAAAGGAGAGCTCTCTCCGCGTTTATCTTTCTTGAAGAACGAAAAATTGAAAAATAGGAAAGAAGAAAAGAGAGTGCTTCTGACACTAAACATGAGCGATTTCAAAATAATCATGTTAAGCTCTCGTTTCAGTGCTTCAAAGTTGCTCCATGTTTACAGTCATTCAATCAGTAAAATTATCAAAATCAACTGCTGAAAATTGAATTGTGAATACAGTGAAAGTTTTCTCTGACATGCTCAACGGACTCGGCATCCTCGATTACCTTTGAAAGTGCGCAAAAAACTAAAGAGGCGGTACATTTTGACCAAAATATCATAATTTCGTCAAATACTCAGTAATAGATGGTTTTCCTGGAAACTTAAAAGACCAGCTAAAAATTCATCGGATCAAGTCCGTTCGAATGCAAAACGACAAAGACACGTGCGATCTATCATTAGAACAAAAAACAAAAAATCGATTTTTTTTTTCCTATTTTTCACCCAAAAAGTGGAGTCCTTAATCTGTTAACTTAACTGTTTTGGTTAGATTAATATCTTAGCTTAAATCCAAAAAAAGTTAAGTTAACATTAATTAACTTCAAAATTAACTTAATCCTGTCACCCCTAGTCCAAATAAATTGTTGTTTCCATGAGTATTTTATTTAAGTGTTTCGATCTGATTCGATCTTTATTTGTTGTTTAAGCTTATTTACTTTTGTCAAACATCAAGCGCATCTATATATATGGGCCTGATTAGTCTAGCCGAATGTTCCAAACTATTTGTTTATCATACTGCTTATATAATATATTAGATCAATGGGATTTTTCTACCAGTTATAGCTCTGCCCATTCAGTTATTCAACTGCTCAATTTCTCGATAATCTTCATCATGCAAATATCTCTCACGCAATCACTACCATAAGAGGAGCAATCAGCCAAACGGAAGCTGAATGTAGAGTGCTTGTATTTTTTTTTCATGCTATATCACTCGGTACTCGCTTCCCAGCTCGACATACCCCTGTGCCGAATCTTCGACAGAACTTAAGATAGTTGCACATATTTTTCCTGCGGAGGAGAGAAATAATGTCAATGATGATGATGATGATGATATTCTATTCAAATATGGAATAGTCATCTCATTCTTCAAAACATTTTGCAAAAATGTTTTTTCATTTTGGTGGAATTCCAGTGAATAGATTTTTTTTCAATTGATCTTATCATAGATAGTGGCGTAAACAGGATTTGAGATATACCGAGACTCAGCCCTTCTAAACATCTCCTTGGCTACGTCACGAATTGTAGAATAATTTGGATATTATAGGTGCGATAAATAGATGATGAAATCGATCCAGACTAAATAAAAAACAACGACGACAATGCATATTAGGCTATCAGTTCTTCTTGTCATTCTCCTATTCTGCAGCGGTAGGTTATAGAAAGGCCGAAAGAAATAGAAATGTTAGAATTGGAAAAATATTTTTAAAAAACTCAATGCTCTTAATAGAAGCTGATTGTAATATGCTACAAAAACCAATACTAATGTCAAGGAAAAAATTGCGTCCTAGCTCTACAATCATTCCATACTTTTATATTTTATTTACCATATTGTGGTCGTTTTAATTGTCGAGTTTAATTTTACCATTGAAATATTTAGTCGTTTAGAAAATTTCTTCAAGGAGAAACGAATCGTTTTCACTATATATACAATCAATTGATGGCAGATCTAAGTGCAAGAGCAAAAGAAATAAAAACGATTTCTCTTCAATGCCGTATAGATAATCTTGCTGAATGGTACTATGATAATCTTATTCGCGTAACAGAATATTTAAGTAGTTTTTCATTTATGGTTGCTCAACACAAAAAAAAATTATAATATTTCACTTTCTTTAACCTCTAATCTTGTCTCTGATCTCTATTTTTCCTTTCTGCCTTTTAACAGCATTCCTTCTGCAGTGGTGTTTTGATCTTTGCAATGCTAGAATTTTATAACAACAATACATCTGTTGATAATTCTCTTTTTTCTATTAGTTTGTTTGGTGACAATTGCATGAATATAGGTATCTTTATTCTTTTAAATATCAAAAAATTTGAAATTTATTTCTTTTATATGTGCTAAGATAAAGGATACTTTGGGAAAAAAAAAGAACTTGTGCACACACAGCACGCATGTATAACATAGTTTAGTAGTTTCTTTGAATTAATTGTGGTGTCGTTTAGCACAAAAACCAACTGTTTGAGTGTTGCACAAATTTTCATAGCAACATAGATAATCTTTAGCATCACACTTGAGACTTTTATCGAATGCTTCACCAAATCCAAAACCACCACGAGCAATAGGAAGGCCAGTCTTCGGGTCAAATTTCTATCAATTCAATAAAAACAAAAACGATAATAATATCATAGTGAAAGAAAGAACAAATCGATATTTTTCTACGTACCGTATAACAGTAGAGATTCTTGGCACCAAAAATAGATGAAGTACGAATTTCAGTTCCATCAAGTCTGTCCGGTCTGCAATTATCAGCACCTTTACATTGATAACAAGCTTTTACTTCTTTCTTCTCTGTCGCTTTAGCTATAAATTACAGCGAAAAATTCAATTTTCTTTTTGAAGCAAAACAAACAATCGACTCAGTACTTACGCGATGGTGGACAAGGTGCTTGTGTATCTTTGTTACACAGATCTTCTTCGCAACATGTATGAAAACGATCTCCACATTTGACAGTTTTATCAAATGCTTCTCCAAATCCATAGGCACCACGTTTAATAACGGTACCTGCTTCATCGAATTTCTATATGAAGAAAAAATCGAATTTATATTTTATATGATGTAGTGACTCACTGATCACGTGATCACGGACACGTGACTGATTATCGTTCAATGGTCAAGTAGTTTCGAGAACATTCTATAATTTTCTAGTTACGATAGTTTTCTGGTGTCCTGTTCTGGAATGTTCTATCTTCAATACTATATATATCTCATGTTGTTGTTACTCGTGCGTCTAGTCAGATACTTAGTTGTACATTTGTCCAATCAGATTGTTCTTTGTTTCTTCTATCAATAAACAAGCTCTTACAACTCGTGATTTCTGCTCGACATCGGACTCGGCATGAAGATGCGACATTTCAATTGTAATAAAGACAATCAAATAAGAAAGATTACCGTGTAGCATGTTAAAACAGCGGCACCAAATGCTCTTGAAGTTTTGGTAGCATATTTTTCAAACGAAATTCCATGACATCGTGTTATCTTTTCACCCCAAAATTTCCACCAAGGAGATGGACGTTTCTGGTCGCATTGATAACAAATTTTGCTTCCATGAACGTTTAACTGGACCACAGTTACTATAGATATGATTTCAAATTATACGTAAAGATTTTTTTTTCACTTATTTATATTAGTACTTACAGTAGAAAATAAGAATAAGAAGCAGCTTGGATTCCATGTCTTGCTGTAAATAAGAAAACGCTACTCGATACTAGACACACAGACAAGCAATAATAAGAGAAAAAAAAAGAGATAGCGGATATTTCGAATATCTTTTTCTCCTCCTTGTATATAACGTTGATTGCCGTATAGATAAGATAAGAGTCAAGGTTTGAGCCATCAACTATATATTGAATATGCCATAGAAATATTAGTCAAGCGATGATATATATCTTTCTGTTGATGGTCAAGAAGGAAAGAAAGAAAGAGAGAAAGAAAGAAAGAAAATATGAAGATAGATAATAAATAACTTTTGCCATCCATGTATCATACATCCTATATTCAGTAGTGTTTTTTTGTCGAGCTATCCTCACATTGAGCAGGGAAACAAGTATGAAATTGAAGATTGATTTTCATATCGATCTCGTCGTTTGTTTACAAAAATTTTCGATTACTTATAGACAAATTCTGTTTATCATTTGATCAATAAATTGAACGGCAATCAATCGAAATCAGTTTGATTTCAACTTTGTGTCAATTGTTTATTTTAGCTAATGGAAAACTCAGCGAAACAACTAGATTAGTAGGAAGATTTTACAACAATCAGCAGAGCAAACCGAAATTTGACGGGAACCGACCGAATAATCGATACAGCAAAAAGCAAATTAGAGGAGAAAAAAAATGGAGTGAACAACAAACGTGATAGACAGCAAGCATGAGCGAAAGAAAAGAAGCAAGAAAGACAAAAAGAGCAAGTGAGAAGAGAGATCGCAACAGAAAGAACAGAAGTGAACGGGAAAAAATAAACAGAGAGACAATAGAAAGAATAATAAGGCAGAAAGAGAGGACGACACAATGATCCGAGCAATTCACGTCTACTTCAGGATAGATAAGCATAAATACATAGGAAGACAGAATGCGCCCTTTTTTTGATCTATACAATAGAAAAAAGAGTGCAAGAAAACATGCGAAAATTTTACTGGATTTTACAGACAAGAGATTCAGAAAACTCTCGTGGATATTTACACGTTCGTTGTACATCATTGAGAGAGCGAAAAAGAAATGGAAAAACATCAGCAACATTTGAAGACACAAATATTGTAAATGGAGATCGTTAGAGGATCGCCAAACACGCCCTAGCTTACAAAGTCTACACTATAAAACTTTTCGGTTTCGCTGAAATAAACTTCTGTGCAAATGGACACCATTCGATGGAGATTGAAATTTTGTACCTAGCACAACAAATTAGAGCGTCAACACAAGTGATGACGCGAATTCGGATAAGACATACTGCCACTAGATCTTTAGCAACATAGTATTTGGGGTCAAACCCCCATTTTTTGGCGGATGACTCCTTCTGAAAATAGTACCATTCGATAGAGAATAGAATTCTGCACCTAACACAACTAATTACAGAATCAACAAAAGTCATACAACGAATCCAGACAAGAAAAAATACAGATTTATTGCCAGAACATGCTCCAAAATCAGGTATTTTGGGCTAAAATCTCATTTTTTGCCTGATGTTTCCTGATAAAAGTAGTACTATTAATGATTGACTACGATGCCAACTTTACTTACGTTATTCTGAAGATAAAGTTATGTTTTATAGTTTTTTTTATGATGAGAAAAGTCTCTAGAGAAATATTTTCTTCGAAGTTGATATTAATTGTATTTAAATAATAAAATCATATGAATCGATCAGATTATGAATTTTTATATTCGAATTTATGTATAATGATCAGCATGATAGTGTTGTAGAAATTAAATTAAACGACAGAATAGATTTCATTGTAAAGTGGAAAATTGAATGTTTCTTAAAGTTATGATTAAATCATTCGAAGATTCACATATATCTCTATGAAATTTCAATTCTATATAATGGAAGTAGAATAACTACTCATATCTATTCATCTCGTATGAAATACTTTCTCGAAGATAAAAGAACTCTGAAGACGAAATAGTGACCATGAATTTATGAGTGAATAATCTTCCGTCTGAAAAATTGGATATTAAAGAAAATCATTCTTTGTTTAACAGAAAACAAGAGAAGAACTGTAAGCGTGAATGAAGCTCAGCATTTTCTATTACAAGTAAATTGATAGTTTACAATAAATATATAATTTGTAAGGTCGAATGAAGTACAAGTCACACTGGAACATACAACAGCACGGTCCTACCATCCCGATATCCTGTTCCATTGTGCAGGAAATGAAGGAAATAAAAATTTTTAATCCTGCTGTGCTGCTCAACAAGACACAAGATACATCAATATGTTCTGCGATCTCCTGAGTTTTACGCTAAGAGAAATGAAGTAGTAGAGCAGTGAATAAATGAACTATTGATTAAAAATTTAAGGTTGATCTATTCAATGAAATCGAATAAGTTATTTGCGACTTCGATTTTCAGTTCCAGCTTGTATGATACAAAATCACAACAGTATTAGCAATTCAACGATTATAACTTTTCTTCTGGAAATTTATTCAGACCATGATTTGAAAATAAAACAAAAATTATATTTAAACATTTAACATTTTTAATAAAGTTCACAAATAACCTTCTCTTCAAAAATAAAAACTTTCTTCTTCTATTATGAATTTTTCTCTAGAAATGTTTAAATACTGTGTCAGTAACGATAATGATATTAGTTGAAATAATGAACTATGGAAACATAACTTATGTTCTTGTTTCGTCAAACAACAATTTCAATTGAAGTCCATCAAGGATAAATATTAATAATCAGATAAATTTAGTTAATATTAACGTAGTATAATACTAATGAAATGTAAATTATGAAACTAAACAAATTTTCAAATTCTTATTTTTTAATAGATGAAGTATTGAATATTTCTGTGAAACAAGATTTTGTTGTTTTACAACTTACATTCTTCCAAAAAATGAATAAAAACATAATCAAAATTTGACTATTAATTTTACTGATAAAACATCTTTATTCTACTTTTATTTTTTGTTTTTTTTTGCCTGATAACAAAATGTTTCAATACAGTACGGTACGGTATCAATATTTTTAAATAATACACAGCGTGTTCAATCTGTAGTCGATAGACTTTTTTTTCAAATTCAATTAAATATTATCTACAACTTCCAAACATGCCTATAGGTATGAAAATTGGTTACGTAATAAAAATGCTATCAAATAAATGAACTTAGGCTCATCTCTATCCTATGCTCGAATGATTGAAAATAAATTTGATGTATGAGCTTATTATGAACAATCATTAGTTATTGCACTTGATCATTCATCAAATATTAGGTTTTCTTTATTTATTTTAATACGTCCCGTACCCAAAATAGCTGCTCGATCGTTATCTATTGAAAATGAAACAATAACTATTTTGAATGTTTTAACAAATTTAAATACCAAGACATCAATTGCAACAACACCATTAATAGCTCGACCTCAAAAACAAAAACAATCATTTTATGAACGTTTAATACATTTTTTTATTATTGAATTTCCATTAGTAATTCTCATTGGAAGTCTTTCTGGCATTCTTCATCTTATAAAAATTATCTCAAATGATCTTATGGTAGTATTTACCATTGGTACTCGTTTATATTCAATGTATCAAAAAGATATGAAATTTTATCAAGGTAAATTTTAATTATATTCATAAAATTTTCTTCAATTTTTCATTTCAGAAAATCCATGATTAATTTTCATCAGGAAATATACCAATTGATAGTGTTATTTATGATGGTTTAAGTTTTTATACACGTCGACTTGTTCATAAAAAAGTTAAGAATATTTTTATTTCTTACCAAGTCAATTATCAATCATACTGAATCAATTCTTTTAAAAATCTTATTATTCATTTTTTTTTAACCAAATCAATCACGTTCGAGAATATGATGATAATTAAACAATACTACCATCTCGTCGCTTTATTATTCCGATAAATATAATTATCGAAAAATAATATCAAACTTTATTATTTTCTATTCGTAATAAACTTATATTTTTGTTTTTTCTTTCATATTAATAAAGAAAATAAGCTCTAAAGAATCTGAAAAACAAACAAAGAGTCATTTTTTACGACTATGATAATAAGAGAATATACACATATGATTGAATATATCTCAGCATTATTTGTTATTTGTTGTATTATTTATTTTATTTTTCGTTATTGTTTTAAAACAAATCAAAATACCATGATGAATAATAGAGTGTATGTTCAACAGCAGTCAGAATTGATTTCTAATCCTATATCATTATCATATCAATACATTTCACAGCAACAAATTCATACAGTACAGCCGTCAGCACCTTTTGCACTATCGGCTCCTATATTGTTATGAATAATAAATAAAGATTATGAGAGAATATTATTTGATGATCGTCATATTTTTCCGGATGAGTGAATTACGACCGATGTCATGTGAAAAACTTGGATATTATCGAACTATTGAAGCGAATATGTTATATTAGGATTTGCTAGATAACTTTTCCTTTGGTTTTCAAATGGAATTGCATGCTGAAATAATTATCCTATATTATTATATTAAACATCATATTTTATTTGTTGGATCGGTAATACATTGTTATGTATAGTAATTCATTTATAAAGTTAAATCAGACATATTTAATACTTATCAAACAAAGTTTGCTTATTACCCTTCATGTCGACCACATCAGAAGATATATATTGGATGTTAGACGAAATAGAAAATATATAGATTAACATCCTAATTGATATTACGTCTAATATTGGTTCAGAGTAAATTGATGTTAAAACTCGAGTTAGTCTATAGATCAATGTCACATTTGAATTCTTCTGGATGAAATGAGAGAGAGAGCAATGACACTTCAATTAATACAATCCTTATTGGACGAATTCATGGACGACAGGAGTGATGATGAAAAGTTTTGTATTGAAGCAGTTCTTGTGTATAAAACCGTTCATAATTTCATGAATTCAAACTTTATTGATCAACTGTCAATCCGATATTGGACTCATTCAATCTCGGATCCGACATTTACTTAAACCAACCCAAAACTGGGCGTAATCTCAATTTGGATCCTAACATATATATCAGCAGACAACAAAATACCCAAGACAGACAACCAGTCAAGCAAGAAATCAAGAGAAAATAATTAGGAACAAATCTGACAGAATGAAAGAGATATATGTAGCTAACAAAATATTTAATGACTGTCCAAATTATCCAACCCGTAGATAATTTCATTTTGCTTTGTATATATCCCAAAAACTAGATTAGCTAAAATCATTTGGTTTTCGTCAGATTACAGCTCATAGTTTCTAGTATTCTAGTTAGAAAAACTTCAGGTCAGTCTATTGATTTATTTAGGTTTTCTTTTTATTGACGATACAATCATAGCATGCCGTTTTTCATCCTTTCGAAATTATCCATCCATTTATTTTTACAAAAATGTGGCGTGCTGATTTTAAGTTGATATTTTCTTTATGATGTATAATTTAGTAGAATAAATTATGCTCTACATAAAGAGCACTATTTATTGTAGCTTTCCTTTGAGTAAGAATTAAATAAAAAATATTCTTTTTTTTATTCATACCGGATATTGTCAGCAAAAAGGCAATAAAAGACAGTTTTTTCATAAGATGTTTAGCCAGTTTTATTGTTTAATATAATATTAACAAGAGCACTACAAATTGCATGAGTTATTCTATTTCAATGGATATTTCATGTTGAAAAATTGTGTTGGTTGTCTCCTATGTATACACAAACCATGCATAGACCTTTTTATACAATCTTATTTATATTTGAAATAAAAACAGATTATATTACTTCAGTTAAATATCTTTTGTTATATTATAAATAGCAAGAGTGCAAAGTTTACCGTAATCACAACAACAGACTGGATATGTATTTCACCAAATAAAGATGTATCAGTTTACATAGGCATAACGTGCAAAAATCAGCTATGTATTTTATGAGATCTGCACTAAGGCTCTTGGTGGAACTATGTCAAACTTTGTACTTCAGCTATTTATAATATAACAAAGATATTTAACTTAAGTAATATAATCTGTTTTCATTTCAAATATAAGAATTTTGTACGACAATAGATTTCTTCACAAATCCATGCTGTCAAAACAATTTTTTCATATCTTCTGCAATGTGTAAATAAGACTGTACAAAATGGTCTATGCATGATTTATGTATACATAGGAGACAATCAACACAATTTTTCAACATGAAATATCCATTGAAATAGAATAACTCATGCAATTTGTAGTGCTCTTGTTAATATTATATTAAACAATAAAACTGGCTAAACATCTTATGAAACAACTATCTTTTATTGCCTTTTTGCTGACAATATCCGGTATGAATAAAAAAAAGAATATTTTTTATTTAATCCTTACTCAAAGGAAAGCTACAATAAACAGTACTCTTTTTGTAGAGCATAGTTTATTCTACTAAATCATACATCATAAAGAAAATGTCAACTTAGAACAAGCAAGCCACATTTTTGTAAAAATAAATGGATGAATGACTTTACCAACCATTGTATATGTAAAGACACAAAGAGAAATGGCGTACATAGAAAATACTTTTACTATCATTTGTATTTTATCATGTGTCTTAAATACGTATGAAAATATTTTTTCAACAAAGATTACTTTATTTGACCCATGATCAACAATTAATTATTTATATTATATCAATTTTAAAGTACAAAATAATGTTACTACAGAGCTTTTACGAAAATTATTTTCTGCTCTACCGTTCGTTTTATTATACTCACAAGTGTGATTAGGATTGATAGATATGTTTCTTAATATTTCCATGTCATGATTGTAATAGTAATTGTATTGAATTGTTTGAAATAACTGTAAATTGAGATTTTTCTAATCTAAAATTTATTATTTTTATTCATCCAATGACACACAAAAATTACCAAGAACAGCATTTTCTGATTTTGTACGATTAAAATAGTAATTCATCATTAAAATTCGATTAAAATCTTTTCCTTCCAACAATACTTCGCTTGGAATAGAACAGTTCTTAAATCAAAATAGATAATGTTCTCATGATAGACAATCAAAAAATTAGCTTGAAAAGTAACTCAATTGAAAAAACTAGAAATTTGTATATCAATATACGTAATATCTAATACGAATAATTATTCATGTGAACTTGATTTAATTAATAATTTCAAATGAAAAGCAAAAAATAATTCTTACTTAATAAATGATAGAATTTAAATTATTGATGATTTTCAATAATGAATAGTATCAGCTAGTCATATCTAAAAGAATTAATGAAAAAAAAAAAGAAAAATTGAACGATTTTGTACAAAAAATTCAACATATCATTATTATCTTCATCTTCATTAATGTAATAATATTATGAAATAATACAAAGTATGCCATTTAAGAAAAATAATATTACGAAAGTTTACTATGATAAAATAGAATTAAAAATCTAGTCTATTGATCTAACACTATGAATGAAGAATATATTACATATACTAATAAACTATAACTTTTTTCATGAATCATAAATCAATTGAACTGTTGCTAAAAGCTTTTTCTGTTAAGCATAAAAGCAGTTCTGTTACAGTCAAATATTTCCACTCAACAGAGATTCTATTAAAAACTTTTTCCAATAACAACATTTCGAGACATTTACATATAATCAGAAAATCAGGGGCAATAAGTATCATTTACCGTAAAACAAAAACAAAGTATTTCAGGATTTATGGAGTAGAAAAAATACGTTGTGACATTTTTACGATAAAAAAATGTTTATATATATATTGTTTTTTGTTGATGAATATTACATATGACCACAATCATAAACGCATGTCGATGTACGATTAAGTATCATCAGATAGTCCTTAGAAACAAATAGATCTTGAAATGCTTCTTTCAGACAACACAAATATGTTTTAATTATATTATAGAAAGATTTTTCCGTGTATCGTATAAATCCAATTAACTTTATAACATTAGCCATATGTTTGTTTATCTCATGTCTTATCAACGTGTCCTTTTGTTAGATATTTTTTTTTTGTCTTGGTGTTATTTTTTGCAAATAATAATAATAGCTTTGTTATATGATGTTAATCTGCATTAAATGAAAATAAATATTTAGTTCGGTAAAGCAGAACTAGATAAACGTCTCTCCCACACCATTATTGTGATCAACATTTTTCTTTTGTTGATTGACAATATATATTGTTGATATCTTATAAACAAAAAATTACCTTGTAAGCTATAAATTTCCATTGAAGCGAAACGTTTACGTCATCACACGAAACAATAGATGAAAAGCAGTAAAGTATTATAGTAGATGATTAACAAAAAAAGAAGGACAAATCGACGTATTAATCCTTTTTTTTATAGTTTAACCACTGTCGAATATTTCAGGATGATATGGAATTAGAATATTACTACAATAGGATAAGTTCTAATTCTTTTTCTTTTTGTTCTATTTATTAATGAAAACTTCTAAGGAGAATATTGTTTGATAAATGATTAATCATTGTTTTATCTGTTGACTGTAAACGTAAAGTTTTGTTGACGTTGAGTTTTTGTGGTTTTATTTTTGATGAAATTTTTATATTAAATTATTTATCGAATCTTTAATAATATATAAGCTTTATTACGTCGACAATAATATTAAAGAAAAAAACGATGTAGAATAATATACATGCGTCTAATAATACTAATGACTTTTTGTATCTTTTTCTTTTTTTTTTCAAATGTAAAGATCATGCTTATTTCATCTTCCATTTGCCGAATGTTGTCCTTCATCTTTTCATTTAATAATGACAATGAATTTTATACGAATAAAAAGTATCACACCCCTTTTTTTTTGCAAGGTCTTATTCTTGTTTATCTGAATTATTTGATTGGCAGTTGTTAGAGCAATGAGCAGAATAAAGAAAAATGAAGATAGTTACACAAACCATGTTTATGTTTTTTGTATGTGATTGTAATTGCGCATTTTCTTATTGATTAATACATGTGTATCATTCTTAGTTTTGATCAATATGAAGAAGACAAAAAAAAAAGAATAGTCTTACAATTAAGTAATTTTTAAGATGAAATAAGTCTATATTCAAATAAAAAATTCATTACTAATGGACAATCAATATGAAATTTACTATTTATCTATGAATAATAAGTCTTAATAAGTAAAAAACAAAATACAGTTTAATACAGATAATTAGGTTCTTTAACATAAACTCTTGTGTTTTTTCTTTTTGTTACTTGATTAAATATACTTTGAGAAGTAAAATATTTTTTTTCTTTTTTGATATATAATGGACAAGCATTTTAGATTTTTTCTTTCCGATTAGTTTTCCTGTGCAAAACAAAAAGATAAATGGATTTTTTTTTCTCATTAATATTGCTTCGCATGAATAGATGATTAGTTCCTGTAGTCGTTACATTTACCTATTTGTTGTTATTGTCTATATACATATGACTTGGCTACAATTAACAAATTAGTTATTATATATCTCTATATAATGACAATATTTTATTTTATTTTAAAAAAAAGAAGAAAATTTTGGATATAACTTTCTCGTATTTTCATTTGTAAAGTAAATATAAGTTAGCAAGCGTTTACAATGAAATATGAGTGCATATGTACAGTAAATCATATTTTTTTTATTAGATATTATTATTCGACGATTAGTGATCACAATAATCTATCACACGTATGCATATCTCTCACTGATGATTATCAATATTGTTGTCCAAAACGATCATCATCAAACTTTTTCTTTCGCACAAATTTTTCTTCACAAAATACAATCTATTTAAATGTAAGTTTATCATATGTTCATATTGCTACTTAAATTTACTAGCAAATTTATTTATTCTAATTAGTTTCTATTACGAAAGAAAAAAAATTATCAAGAATGACATATTCAGAAAAAAAACTATCATGGATGGAAGTGTTAAATGAATCAACAGAAAAAGATTTAAAAAATGAAACGATTCGTCGAAATTTTAATGAAATACAATCTAAACCAATGGATAAAATTAATCATACACAAATGGATTCTGATATGAATTCTAATGTTTATCACTCTGCAGTCTCAATTCCATCTACTAACAAACCAAAAAATACAAATAATAAACAACAACAAAATACATTAGGTAAATGTAAGTTAATTTTTTTTTTCAAATATTTATTCAGATTAAAAAATAGCTAATAATTATCATTTCTAATACCGTTTTCTTTTTTGTTGTTCTTTCATATTTCTGTCGTCTCTTGCACTTTCCTTTGGATTGCCTCCATCTCTTGTCATCTTACTTGTCCTTAATACTTAGCCATACGAGATAAAGAGCAAAGAACATGATGACTTGGCTCATACCCTAATACGCAGACTTTTAGCGGGTACAAGTCAGTAAGAAAAATCAGAGAATAAGCTGCCAAACAGACACATTTCTTTTTCTTTTCTTTTTTCTTCATTTCTTTTTATCGTTGTCGTCACTGTCCTTCGTTGCAATTCATAATAGAAACTATGTTACTTGCATGCACGCTCATGTAGTCCGCCTTTTTTTTTTGTTTCGCCTTTCTAACATATAGTCTCGTTAACTATAACACCAGATTTTTTTTTCGAACTATTATCTTTATTTCTTTTTTCTATAGATTCAGTATGTTTTTTTATCAATAAATCTATAGGCTATTGAGTGAATAAGGTAGAAAATAACATGCTTGTTTATTCAATTTAACTTGAGGTTATCTTATCGTTGATATGAATATGTGAGATGAAAAAGTAAAATAATTTTCTAAATTTAAGTAACGAATTTTGTTTTTCTTATTGAATATTTTTGAATTTGTTCATTACTTTTAAGAGAAAAGTCTTTAAGTAAAAAAACAAACAGTTATTATTTATTGGTAAGCGTTCTATATAATTGCAAAAACAAAATGAGAGAATACTGTCGAATAGAAAAAAAAGCAGTCAACGTCATCAACAAGTAGAAATGCTATACTGTTGTTGTGCGTCTTTGTCTTTCTTTTTTTTTTTTCTCTTTCGTAGTTTTTTTTTCTCTTTATTACGATGGCTTGATATAGAAGTATATATAAACATTGTGAATTATTATAATCTTAGATTGTACCTTGGTTTTTATTTTTCTTTGAAATTAATTTAAAAAAAAAAAAAGTGTACAATAATAAGACATGTTGAAAACGTCATCATCATCGAATATGTCTTCAACTATTAAACAACAACCATTTAGTCCAGTAGCTTATAATTCATTTTCAAATAATTTTCATAATCATAATCATAATCATATTCATCATCGATCATCGACAATACCATGTGATAATGGAAAATTATCACCAGCATTAAATAATATTTCTGAAAGTTCTTCAACATCTAAATTAGTATCACCATTGACAACAGCCAGAACAGGAGGAGGTTAGTATGAAAAAAGAAAAAGACATACTTAAGTTTTGGAAATGTTACTTTTACTTTTCAATAATATTTGAATTGTTTATTTACTTGAAAGATAATACATAAATATTTATTGTTTGTTTTTTATATACCGCAGATTAGGCATCGATTACAATCTCTTTTCCTTAAAGGCAATCGTTTTAGTTAATAGAAACGTTTATATATCATTTCAATTGAGAAAAATATTATTTTATGGCTAAAATTTTTGTTTTCTTTAATTTAGGTCCAAAATCTCCAGAAGATAAACGACGTTGTGTATGTATTGATTAAAATTTCTTTTATATAACTACATATATACGTCTTTTTTTTCCTTCTCTTCAGGCTGTATGCAGTGATGTTGCTTCTGGTTATCACTATGGTGTATGGAGTTGTGAAGGTAAATAACATTGTTAAGATATATTTCTTTCATAAATATCGATAAATAATTTAAAGGATGCAAAGCATTTTTTAAACGAAGTATTCAAGGTACAAATGAATATATATGTCCAGCAACAAATACATGTACTATTGATAAACATCGGCGTAAAAGTTGCCAAGCATGTCGTTTAAGACGATGTTATGAAGTTGGTATGACAAAAGGTACAACACGACGAGATGCAAAATATCGAAGAAAAGCTGTATCAGTTTGTAAAATAACATCAACTTCAAATGCAGCAGCAAATAATGCAAATGTTAATAATCAAGAACATGGATTATTAGGTTCAACATCAAATGCACGAACAACAACAGGAACACCTTCTGGATCTCAATCTATTCATAATAGTAATGTTTTATCATCACCACAATCACAAATTAATAAGGTATAACATATCATTTTAAAATTATTCAAGAAGGATATACGAAATTTAACAAAGATAACTAATCATATATGAATTCATTATGAAAGATTATGAAAAAGAATATTTCGAAAACTCTATTAGAAATATTCTTTATAGTTTTATCCTAATAAAATATTAATAGTTAACATATTATTCTTGATATCTTGATATTTTTATAGATAAATATTTGCAGTTACAAAATCAAGGCTGAATTGTATTGTTGTTTACTCTTCATTAAGAACTAAAAGTTAACTATTCTGCCTTACTATTAACAAATCAAGACTTTTCTTGAAATCTATGAAACTTACGTGTTTCAGTTCAACAAATGAATCTATAAAAATACTATTGACATTATCAAGAACTATACAAATCTTTTGTTTATCTAGACACATTGTAAACGAGTTCGTGACAAATCTCTGATTGTTGAATTCTGATTTTTAACAAAAACAATTTATGAAAAATAACAGAAAAGCAGGAATCAGAGATAAAAAAAAATGAGAAATATCATTTCACTGATATTAGTATTTTCCCAGTTAGGGTAACAGCGACTATTCATTCCACTCCAATGTCGTATTGCCCTCACTACTACCTTCATCCACCCTTAAGACAGTAAATTTCTGATTTTGATACAAAGATTTCAAAATTAGTACTAATTTGAGATTTACTATTCTTTGGCCTCATATTAGAAGGCTCCTTTGAAGGAATGATGCGGTGAAGGTAATAGAAGGTTCCTCTTAATTAATTAATTTCTTACAAAATTAGAACATTAATTAGTATATTTACATCGAAATATACCTAGTTTTCAGAGTAGTTTTGAACTGAAAATTCTTAAAATACAAAGGTTAAAATTATTGTTGAGCTTTTAAACCTCTGAAATTCTCGAAACCATTTTGGTTTTTTGACAGAACATTTTAATTAAAAATTTTGAAAATAAATCCGATACAATAAAAGACTAGAGAACATCTATTATCGAAAGAGATTTAGTTACACTGATGTTAAAATTTTAGTAGAACGCTCTAATTCTAAGAGTGAACTATAATTTGCATTCAACACTTTTTTAATTTAAATTAGATAATTCTCTTTTAATCTACGGACGACTTAATTGAAGAATCCCCTTGATTTCTACATTTTGTCAGAAAAAGAATATTCCTTATTTCTTTTCTTCGTTCAGACTACATCGGACTCTACACGTATTCCAATACCAACCGCTGAATTTCTTTCAATTCTTTCTCAAGCATCTCGTCTTAATTTATTATCTAAAGTCGATACAAATCGTCCATTAGATGATCAATATTTTCTTCAAATACTTGCAAAAATTTTCGATCAAGAATTAGTTGTTCTTATTAATTGGGCAAAATCTGTACCGGGTAGAGTATTTTTATTTCTCTTTGAAATCTTATTTTTTATTAATAATATTTCTTTTTTATTAGGTTATACAGAAAGTTTAACACTTGATCAACAAGTAACAATAATTGAACAAAGTTGGTTAGATACGTTAATTCTCGATATAATCGAACGATCTATAGAACGTAACGATGATGCACTTCAATTTGCACCTGATTTTATAATCTCACGGTAAAGTAAAAAAGAAAACTAAAGAAATTGACTATTATTAATAGATTTATTTTATTTAGAAATAGTGATTTATCAAGCCCTGTTCTGAATTCAATATGTACAGATTTATTTCATATACTTCAAGTATTTAAAGATCCACATACAACACATGAAGAATTCATTGCACTTAAAGCTACAATACTTATTAATTCAATTCCAGCAACTATAACATCAACAAAAGCTTTTCGTTTATTAACAAATCAAATTTATCAAGCATTACAACATACATGTGATTCAAATCCTAATGTCTATCATGATAATTATATTCGTCAGACGACACTTTTATTACAAATACCACATATTAAAATGTTAAGCTCAAAATTAATAAGACTATTTTTACATATGCGTAGTAATGAATTATTACCACAAGCTGATCTATTGTTAGAAATGCTTGATGCACAAGATACAATTGATATATTATTTAATATGGATGTAAATAATATTTCATTACGTACAGAAAACTGTACTCAAAATTCCTTAATAAATAATAATATATCATCAACATCATTTGAAATTGATAATTCATCAATGTATCCAAACCAATATCCCAATATGTTAACAATAGACATAGATAAAGATAATATACCTCATTTATCTGCCAAACGTTCACCTTCAACACCACCTCTTTCATATTATAAACAAATATCAGACCAATCTAGAACAACAAATGAACATTTTTTTTAAAGAATATCCATTGAAGATATTTAACTGCTCAATTCAATTTCGTTCGTATAGTTGCTTAATTATTTTTCTTTTTCGCTTTGCTCATATTGACACATTCATCTCAAAATGCTCAGTTGAATTTTCGAATAGGGCAACTATATTTATTTCTCAATATTTCTCATTCTATTTGAGATAATAACTTTATTGTCCGTATTTATTACAACCCGGTTTAACACCAGCTCGGTGTTTTCTTTTTTTTTTGTTTATTTCTTCAAAATTATACCTTGTTTGTTTTTTTTCCTGTTCTTGTTTCTTTATTTGTGATCATATAAAAATGTGCGTATTGTACGTTGAGCTGACAGCTTAATTCGTTTACAAAATTAAAAAAAAGAACAATATATAATGAAATTTATTCAACAAAAATTTCTTATATAATTAAAGAGAACAAAAAGAATAACTATATATTTTTTTCTCGAAAAGAAAATTTCTATCATTATGTTCGATGTTTTATTAATGATAAAAGAAAAAGTAATATATAAAATCATATGTAGTTACTTGTTACATGTACATATATGATTATTTAGAAAAAAACAAGAAATTTTTAAGTGTTATTTATTAGTGAATAGCGTGATGTGCGAAGAACGTTCTTTTTTTTAAGCGAAGCATTTCCTTATTGTAAAAGAAAGTCATGAAAAAAAATATTATTATTTTCGGTATCTTTATAAAGTAATAATTAGATTTAGCCAAATGCTTTATTTAAACTGATTTGGTATGTCTCGGTTGTGAAAATATTAAAGAGAAATAAAATTTAGACTTGACAAAAAGATCACGATGAAACTAATGATTGATCATATATTGAATCGTAAGAATTATAAAATACGTTAAATGCATTGACTGAATAAATTCGACAACATAATTATTAAATAAACAATTCAAGATGAATATTAGCTCTATTGAACAAATTACGATCGAAAAAGAAAACGATTGCTTTTTAAAAACGATAAAATATCTCTAATAATAAATGATAGTAAACTTGTAGAAGAAGAAAATTATAAAAATAAGTCTCGAATTTTCAAATATACTTTTATATTTCATATTTAAAGCTTCAAGACATTGTAATAAGTATTTAATCATAAATGTACATAGATTTGATCTTGTTGATTTAATAAAAAATTTATATATAGCATGATAATTATTTCCCTTGAGATTTTCGTGTTCGTTTAGAAACTGATGTGATGAAAAATAAAAAGAAAAGGATGATAAACAAATGAAAAAACATAATAAAATGAATTTAGATAATCATCAAAAGACAAATCTTCGGCTAATAGAAAATTGAAGCAAAACGATTGTAATATTTATTGAATCGAAAGTAGCCAAATGAACATATGTTAACAAGAGAAAAATATAAAATGCTCGTCAATCAAATTCTAGTAAGATTAAAATAATAGATGTATTAAATGATAACTGAATTAGATATTATAATTCTTTTATAATTATAACATAAAAAAAGTTATTTTTAAGATTAAAATCTAATACAAATGAGGATAATATTCTCTCAGTGTAAAACAATTAGTTCTATCATAATCAAATATCTATATATAGAAAATTAAATAATTATTACATGCTATTATTCCTAAAAATTATGATTAATAGCTTATCAACTGACGAGTGGGACAGAGAAAATGTCATGTATATGCAGTATTGTTGTTCTTCTGTTGAACTTCATCAGATGCGTTTCTTTTAGTATATCCCAATAGAGAATATTGTCTACATTGTATTCATATGTAATTCACAAAAATAATCCTATACTGTTCTTTTGTAATAATAAAAAAAATATTAGAAGATACAAAACGTTAAGTGCTCAAGTGAAAAAAAAATCAGAAAAACTCAAACTGTTATATTTGCCTTGAAGTTATCCGAAATGAACTGGTTTCAAGGTATAACAGATATAAAATTTTTCGAACTATCCATCTATACGTTAATGCCTATATGGTTACTTCTCATTGCTGTGCAAGAGGAAGAAAAGTACAAAACGCATTTCTCCAGCCTGGAGTTCGAAAAGTAATTATTGTTATATCAGAAGATGCAGAATATCACGTACTACAAAACGAGTATGTTTTTTGCGATTTACATCTTTTTAGTCGCAGATGACAGATTTGACACATATTTGTTGAAAGGAAATGACGTCAAAAGTATATCATCACCTAGTTGTTTTAGCTACTGTAGGACTGCGTTTCAGAATATGATTTTGTACCTAAACAATTGACACTTTTTTTTGTATTCTTTTGGTGTCTTGTTTGGATTATCCAAAGAAAACTTGTATGAAGATATTAATCAATTCTTTCACAATGCGACGGTGAGCAGTTGTGACAGTTTCTAGACATCTAGTAGTTTGCATACATTTCAAAGACGATTAAAACAGATCTTGATCTACTCATAGCATTTAAAACTAGAGAAAATTCAGAATCTTTCAAGATTCGAACAAAGCCTTGAAAGTTGATAAAATTAGTTAAATGATGAGAGTTGTAAAGTGGTACCATTTTCTTTGTTCAACTCGGTACTTTATCTTATTATATTATATTTCTTGGAAAATTTCTTTAGTAAAATAACTCATTAGTTTATCTTTTTCTCTCATCTAAAATTTTATTTAATAAAAAATTTCATGTCTTCCATTCATTCTGTGACTGATAAATAAAAACAACAGTATACATACAGTTTTGTACAAAAAACATTTGTACAAAAATAGGCATTTTTTTTCTAATGTTTTCATGTTTTATGAAATGATTATAAGTTTGAGTTTTTCAATGATTGTTCGTCATTAACTGGACAAAGAAATCACCTAACGAAAATGCATTTGTTTTCTATTTTAATTATCATTTCTTTTTGCTTTCATTAAATTAAATCATAAGGTTTATTAATTTCTCGATAATCACCTTCACCGCTTCAATCGTATAATTTATTCAAGTAATGCCTTCTATTGATGACCACATTGACCTTGTCAATGTATACAGACAGGGTCATTATAAATATATTCACATTCAGAATCAAGGAATGTTCACTGAAAGAGGTTTTAGTATAATCAGAAATTACTTAAAGAAACAAATAAAAAAATATGAACGATCCAGAGAGACTTGACATTCTTCAACTATGTATTCCTTTTTTTCATTGAAATTTTGCAAAACCTAGCATTTATAATATGATCACAATTTTAAGTAACGGACCGATTACCTTTAACAGTCTGAATCTAAACTAGACAGAAAATTTTTAGTCAGGAATGAAGCATAAAATTGGAAGCAGAAAATGCAAAAAAAAAACATCAATGTACTCCAATTGTTTTTTATGAAAGTATTTCATAATGTTAATATTAGTGTCGTCATATATATGGTACGTCGTCTATGAATGAATGATGTTTTTCGTATTATTTCTTTCGAAGGTGAATGAATAAAAATTTTCAATTATAGTATAATATAGTACTTTTTGTGATCTATTATTTGAGAGATGATATAACTCAAGTTGACGCACATAGGAAAAAAAATACTCGCAAACCAAGGGGTACAGGTTTCTTTTTTTGCAAACAACTGTTAGTAATAGCATATTTTTAATTACTATTTTGTGAAACATGGTCTGAAAAGGAGGGTGTGGGCGTGTAGGAATAGAAATTTGCTTCGCCCTCTTCATCACGGTTTGTAATACATTTAGCGACGAAACAAAAGCTTCCTGTAGGGTTATTATGAAAAAACGATTGAATGTAATATACTTGTCTTTGGCCTTCTTTTCAAACTTACTGTAGCGTATTACGAATAATATTCTTTCATCATAAACATATGAGTACATTGGAAGGTCACATAACAAAGTATATATTGCAGAATGTCTTGATTTACGAAATATTCAGATACATCATGTTTCATATTTTAATAATGAAGAGATTGTGTTGACAACTTTTATACATCAGAAATAAGTCGAAACTCTCTTTCTTGTCTTCAAAAAAATAAAACAATCTAAACATTATTTTTCTTTTGTTATTGCCAAAGGATCCTCATTAAATTTTAATTTAATCAGAATTCTGGCTAGAGCTGAATCATTCAAATTGGATTCTCATATTCTATTGCAATAATCAATATTCTTTAATTGATCTGTCAATAAACAATAAGCATTCATTTCTCAACAAATTGCTCAATAAAGATGTATACAAATGACTTTATAGTTAATCAAATGATAATAAGTTTTTATAATCTATTATATAGATATATATGTATGTTATAGGGGAAATTAAAATTTTTTCCTAAGAAGACACGCAAGTAACGGTATGTTTATTGTTGTTTAGAAAAATTTTAAATTACTCTAAATTTGAATTTCTTCTATAACACCTATTAAAGTTTTGTTTTAATAATTGAACTATCACATTGAGATGCATTATCACATGTTGTACTTCTTAAATTCTCTTCATTAGGTATCACAGGCATTGTTTTTCGTATATATAAAGGCCACATGAAAAGAAATCTAAATAAATTTTTTTTGTAAAATTTAACAAAAAAAATTCAAAAATTCTTATTTACCCAGTAATACCTAATGGAATCAGTCCAATAGCCGATAAAATAAAAAAAATTATTCCAGGATATATTTCAATTGTTTGAGCATATATTGCATTAGTAACTATTCCAACAACATACGATCCAATGGTTTCAACAATTCCAGTTGCAATAAAAACAAGTGCAAATTCAGTATCATTAACTAATTTTGTTAAAAGTGATCGTAATACCGCCATAACAACAAAAAATAAACATCCAATAAAAACAGCTTTTAAAAAAAATTATTTTACAAAAATCAATAAGAATAAACTTTTTTTTTTAATCTTACCGAGATAAAGAAACCAAACAACATGAGCTAGTCCAAAAAGAACTAAATGTATAATATATGTGAATATTCCAATAAATGGTAATAATAATGAATTAGTAAATCTATTTTGCCAAAAACTAAGAATAATTGATATGAATATCATTAAAGAAAATTGTGCACTTGTTAATATTGCTAAATCTAATACATTAAAACATAATGGTTTTCCATAGAGATAAAGTGGATGAATACTTGCAAAACCAAATAAAATAATAAAAAGCATGATTTGTGTTAATGTTAATAATATTATTGTTCGTTGATTATTTCCCTCACGTTTTATTAAAAATACTTGATATGTACCATAAATAGGTGAGAAACGTATTCGTTTGATTTGTTTTAAAAAATAAGAAATTTTTCGAGTATTTTTACCACGTGATTCAGGTTGAAGAATTATTATATAAATTAATGCAACTATATTTAAACCTAAATTAATTGATATTGGTAATGTATGATCATGATGTTGTAACCAAAAACCAATACCTAATAATGGAAATATACGCGTTAGAGCAACTGCTGCTTCTTCTAATAACATAGCACGTGATCGTTGATTCTCTGTTGTACAATCAGTTATATAAGCAATAGCTCCTAATAGAAGTACACTATTGGAACCAAATAAACCGTCAACTACATTCGATATAATAAGCCAAATATCACTGAGATTTAATTCTACAAGTAACAATATAATAGTAAATCGAATTATTCTTCCGATACATGGTAAAATTAAAAGAGGTCTTCGTCCTATACGATCACAATTAGCACCAAGAATGATATACGTTAAAACAGCTGGTAATGCTCCAACACCAGCCATCATTATATTTAAATGACTGACTGATTTTTGTACTTGAATAGATAATTCAACAATTTGAGAATCATTCTGAAGACCTTCTGTATCACAGGCTGTTTCACTTGCTGGTGAACTTGTATTAACAAGACCATATTCTAACTGATAACGTCGAATCATTAGATCATTAAGAAGAATTGGATCGGTTGTTGCTGTTGTCATAGAAATAATAACAATGGGAAGAACAATCCACCAACGAAATAATATTTGTCTTTGTTCTTGAGAAAAATTGATTTGCTGCGATTTAACTAACGAAATATTTGCTAACTCCATTTTCTGTTTAATCTTGTAAACAGCATATGTCTTTTTTATTTTATATAGTTTTTTTTGTTTTTGCTATTGGCAAATCATGATTTCGTGCAATTTGTTTTTTTTCTTCAATGTACCTTTTGATAGGTAATAATCAAATGTAACTAGGTTCTATTCTTTTCTTTTTTTTAAAGAATTATCTGGATACCATTATTCATTTTCTATTCAATAGAGGCAAATACGTCATATCAAGGTCGTTTGATATTTCTTGTTACGAGATTCATTGAGTAAAGTATTTATTCGATTGGCCCAATATTTTTTTTTATATCAGAAGCAAAAATAATCAATATACATTCTGACATCAATATGTTCCCCTCGAGTATTAGTACGATCTACTAATCATCAAATGCAATCAATATTCATTTGGCCGATTTTGTTTTTCTCGTATTCTCTTTCCTAATATTAATTATTATTCTTGATAAATACCCATCGGTTATGGTTTTTTTTTCTCTGATAATACTCTTTTCTTCCATCATTTCAGCTGATCATGTTAGACCGAAATAGCAAGAAGAGAAAAGACAGCACAACAATCTTTCTGACATTCTTCTTTAGATATAATCAATGTTAATGCGTGGTCAATTATCGTTTCAGTGCTTTACACAGTAGTTTTGCTTATGAACAAACAATAGCAATACGATTGAAAATTGTAAACTATCAATAGAATATCAAGAACTATAACAACTTGACTGAGTAAAATCATATTTGTATCTTATTGCTAATAAAATAATTGTTTTTAACGATATATGGAACATATTATAGAATAATGATATTTTTCAAACAGAGAAATATAACTATTAATTGATATGGACTATCGTAAACATGCAATATCAACAATAAGAACCAATCAACCACTACGACAACAACAAAAACAACATTCATCTGTATACAAGTGTATTTTCGAATGTTGCGCATCTTATGAAAGTAAGTTATTAAATTATACAGAAAAGAAAAAGAGTGAAAATTTGAAAAAGCATAAGCATACCTAGTAGTTGCTAAGCTAAAATATACGACTAACTTTTAGTCATGAAATACAAACTAGTGTATATAATGTGAAAGAAATCTTTATCAAAATAAATGACTTCAACATTTTGACGATTAGCAAAAGGTCATAGATATTCTTTTGTACTATTATATCTTTATACAGTCTAATAATACGATCTTATATGTTACAAACATTATAAACAACTTTTATACATTCATTTCTGGATTAGGCTTGATTACAAAAAAAAATATATTGAATAATTGATGAAGGTAATCGATGGAGAATAAAATTCAAGATTGACTTTGACTTGGTTTAACAAACAAAAATAGTAGCCGTATACAGCATAATGCAAAAATCAAAGTTGTTGATGAGTTCTTATTTCATCAATTTCTAGATCGATCGTTTTAGAACTTAAGAAAAAATTTGAAAAAAAAACATGTCTATGAAAATGAATACAGAGAGTTTTAAAAGTTCGCTACATAAAAGAGCGTGAATAATTTTTGAAGAATTCAAGTGATATCTGTGAGTTTTCTATAATTTTATTTTACGGTTTGTCAATTTTCGTTTTGTATAATTTTGCCATTGAACAAAATTTACAAATAGCCAGAAAACCCGATGCCGATATTTTTTCACTGCCTTCATAAGCTTCAGCGACTGTTACTTATGTCATTACTTTAACACGTTCGGAATATCTCCGATCTCCTAAAATATCAGTTTGATAAAAGCATTTAGAGAATGCTTTACTAACATCTTTATTTGACAGTTCTTTGTCATATTCGACTAACAGCTTTCATTTCACAATCGTAGCCACCAATAGAACGATTTATATTCAACTGATCATAGGTACAGGCATTTAATTTGAAATATGTTGAATAAAACTTTGACGAATATGAAATAAAGTGTTGAAAGAAATATATAAATCAATTAAACTGCTAGAGAACTATTCAAGTTGTTTTTTCTAACGGAATTTTTTTGCATACCCTGTATATATTGCATATAACTAGAAGTCGATAAGATCAGTTCTAGTTCAAATTTGAGGATCTGTTGAAAACATTCTCTGATCGTGAACTAATATTTCCAAACAATTTTTGAGAAAGACCCACTTCTGAATATTAAAAAAAACTTTTGTTCTGTTACTGAAATGTTGTTCTTAAACAAAAAAAAAATTTTTGGATAGTTCAGCTGCTGTTCGAGGAATTGTTTGAACAAATTCTGTAATAGAATGTGATTTGTTCGAGCAGTTCTTTTGCTCATTTGATTTGTGCTTGAAGCAAGGAGTTGGTCGACTCCTGAATATAACGCTACCGAAGTGATTCGTATTGTTTACGGTATAATTAATAATATTCACAAGCAACTTGCTTTGAAAGATTGAAGCTAACAGAATAGTTATTTGAACAATACATCAAATTTAATGAGAACTTATGATTGATAGGACATTTTTTTGACATTGCTCAATTTTGATGAAGTACTAACAATAAACGAAAAAAAGCTTTTGTACTATTATTTATTGTAAATCAAAATGTATGTATAGTAATGTACTATGCTATATGTATTTAATCGAATTCGTTTTAATAAAAGAGATTTGAAAATCCTCAATAGGAATTCTTTTTTTCCCTTGTCTTATTCGAGCAGATGAAAATCATCAAACAGAATCATAGAAAATGCCAAATATTGTCTAATGACCTTTTAAGAAATCATCATATGATTGCATCCATGTATAGTTGTTTGTATTCATCTGTCTCTATCTCTGTTAAACATTACTAAATATAACAGCTAGAAGAAAAATTATGCTAAAGCTTCGAAGTAATCAAGTGATTTTGTTTTTGTTTTTGTTTTTAACACATCAAAATCAATTTATTCTTTCTTATTTAGCTGAAAAAGTGGTTCGTTTTGAATCTAAATGGATAGGTATATTATCATTAATTGTCAAATTATCTCTTGCTATTGGTTGTTTATATTTAATGTTTCAAAGAGATTCTTATCAAATATTCGATCGTTCACCAATATCGGTTGTAACAATTAAAGTAAAACAATCAACAAACTGTTCAAATAATATTTCAATAATACGTAATATTTTCAATTATAACTGTACGAAATCTTTATATGATGTAAGTGATTTTATAATACCAGCCACAGAAAATTCAGCCGTATCAATAACAATACGAATGATCGAAACTGAACATGTATTAAAATATTGTAATGATACAATAATAAAAAATACTCAACAATATTCATCTTTATATAATTTATCAATACATAAATGTTCTCATCAATCACGTTGTATTTTACCACCTATGTATCGTTATAATGATGATGATGATGATGATAATGATGAATATGAAAATATATTGAATGAAGGAAAATTATGTTGGTTTAAAGTGCTTCCAACATATGAAAGATTAAATCATCAAGCACTTGATTATATTTTATTTATAAAACATTTTGTTGAATTTACACAATTAGGTCTTGTTAGACATAATCTTGCATCAGATGTTATAACTACTGATTATTTAAATAGATGTGAATATGATCCAGATAAATATCCATTATGTCCAAAATTTCGAATTTTAAAAATTCTACAAATGATTGAAACAAATCCACATGAATATGAATTAATGTTTTTGCATGGATCATTAATTGAAATTAGAATTACTTGGAGATGTAATCTTGATCGAGAGCTCAAATATTGTGAACCTGTTTATGAATTTCAACGTTTAGACATTAGACCATATGAAGCAAATCCTTATGATCCCGGTTCAAATTTCCTTACATCGCGACATTTTTTTCTACCAAATGGACGTGAATTACATCGTATACATACACATATATATAAATTACATATTATAGTTTCTGTTACTGGTGAAGCTGGAAGATTTGATTTATTTCAAACTACAACAAGTATTGGATCATTTCTTGGTATATTTGGTACAGGATCAATTGTTTGCGATCTTATTGCAACATTTATTACTAATTTTAAAAGAGTAAAATATGATAATTAACTATCGATCAATTTCAATGCACATTTATAGAAAATTTAGTATTTCCTAAGGAAATATTTTTTACTTTTGTAGTAATCAAGGAACACCTGTAGATAATTGAAAATTCAAATTCATTGGATGACTATGATACAGATTTATTTCGTCTTTTATGTAAATAAAATTTAAAGTTTAATATAATCATCTGAGCCTTTTTTTTTACAGTACATGATATTCAATTTGTTCTATTTATCTATATGTTTGTGAAGATCAACAGATTTAAGAAATAAGAAACATGAGTCAAAATAGATCATATTTGTCGTTAAAATATCATCATTATTATTCTATAATCTATACAAGAAAATATTATTATTCTTAATGATTTTTTTTTCTGTTTATATTATTAACATAAATTCGACATTACTAAGAATAACAATAGTACAAAAGCATTTATCATATATTCAAAGAAATTTCTCTATATGATTCATAGTCGATTCCAGGGTTCATGTTTATATATACGAAATCAGACGTGTATCACTTATTTTATCTATTTCATCATAGATAAGAATGTTTATATTCTGTTTTTTCTTTTCAATAAAATTATATTAACATATCATACACGTCTTCGTTCAGAAATAAATAAATATGGGTTGTAGACATTCATCATCACCATCAAATTCACCAAAGATAATTACTAAAAATGGAGGACGAATTACATTAAAAAATAAAATATCTATTCAACAACATTCACAAAAATATAATCATGAAAAAACGAATGGTATAAAATTATCTATATCAAATAAAACATTTTCATCATTAAATCTCGAACAAATACTTGATAATCATGGTAAAAATTTAATAAAAAGATTTGAATTTAATTCTGCTTGTCTTTTATTTGATGTCTCATTAACACATATACTTTTATTTAATAATAGACAACTTTATTTAATTAATATCAATACAATGAATATTGATACATATATTTTATTAATTGATACTATAAATATTCAAGAAATAGTATGGTCATCACAATTAAATAAATTTCTTATTCTTACAAGTGATCAATTATATCAAACGGGTATTGATCAATTACAATTAACACCTATTCATCAAATTCAGGTTAAATGATCAAAGAAATTTACAAAAAAAAAAAAAAATATATATATATATTTATTGATTTTTCTTTCTAGTTTATTAATGAAGGTCATCGTAAATCATATATGACAGTAAATGGAGATGATTTACTTATAAATCGTTCATTTGGATATGATCTACGTCGTTACTCTCTCGTAAATTTTAACCTTCTACAATCACCTCATGTATATAAAGAAAAAAAAGATCTATGTATAACTACAATACAATTAAATTCAAATAAAATCTTAGCTCTTGCAATTTCAATTGGTGAAAAACAAATGATTGATTTAATACATTTAAATACTGATGAACTTATTCATCGAATTAAATTAGATTTCAATGAAAATATTTCATATCCAATTGATTTACATTGTCATGGATTATGGTTTGCTAAAACATGTATACCTTATGTTAATATTGGCCATTGTTTAATAACATCTGATGGACAAATAGTTAGATTAAAACTTTTTTCTAATCAAGATAATTTTATACGTTCACTTCGAATAACGGATGATAATAGATGGCTATTAATTGGTAGACAACATGCATTAGAACTTTATTCATTATCAAACAATATGCTTTTTTCTTAGTTGATTTATAGACTTTGTTTGTTTTGATTGACCTTGATCAGGTTTTTTTTTCGTTAAACGAATGAAAACGAAAAACATGAAAAAAAAGAAAGAATGTTGTGCTATAATCAGGAAAAAATTGAATATATTTGATGTTTTCCGGAAGCTTTATCTGTAATGATCATTCATATTCCATTTTCATTGGAAATAATGTGATCTATTGAACAATATTCAGATTGTGAAAAATGAAACTTTCATAAGTATTCAAAGAAAAGAGATGAATTTTGAGGGGCACGCCAATAGTGTTCAGATTTTTGAAAACGAAAATGTCCGAAATTACTAACACATGAGAGGATAACTTGTGAGAAAATTTCGAAGTAATTAGTTCATAAGAAAAAAAAATTTAAGAAAATGACATAAAATTTCAGAAACTCGTAGAAAATTACAGCAATTTCTAAATTTTCTTTAGCATCGATATACATGAATCAAGTTGTAAGTCGATACCAGTACAGATGCTCATCCCGAAAAATGATACGCATTTTCGGTAATTTTCTACATTATTCTTTCCTATAATCGGTAATTGTGAAACTTCCCTAGAAACTACCTTCTGATGTGTTGATAATTTCAGAAATTTTCTATTTCGAAAATCTAAATGCGTTTCTTTGAGAATAATTGGTTAGAAGTTATGGACGTGTACTGTGTGAACTGACGCTTTGACAGAAAAAAAGAGTGCGTAAAAAGCTGCTGTTATTGTTTTTTTTCTTTCTTTTTTCATGAGATTATTTTTTGTGTGACACGTCTTGCTACAACAATCTACGCATTTTAATATGCATCCGATTCGAAATATTAAAGAAAAAATTGGTTCATGTGTTGAAGACATAGCAGTAACAGCACCACAAATAGTCAAAGATGCTTCAATAGCTGTTACCGATCAAGTCAAGAATTTCAATGAGAAAGTTCTTGAACCTACAGAACAACAATTAGCCGACGAACATGGGTATACACATGGTGGTAAAAGAGAAAAAATTGTTAAACATTTAACTGGAATAGGTAAGTATGAAGCTGGTGCACACTTTATTAATAAACATGTTGTGAATCCAATGCGTCGAAATCATGATAAGGATAATCCACCAGATTCCACAGCAACTTAGATGATAAATATCTATAACGAAGTACCAATACGAATATAAAGTTGTGGTTCTTCTATGATTACCAAAGTGATATGTGTATAAACTTGTTCTGTTATTTGTTTATCCAAGCATTGTATTAAAAGTCAAATCTTCTTTTTTTTCGAAATGCACATAATAAAATTTCGTATTTATTTCAGATTCTTCAAATAGCTATCAATGAATTGATTAATAAGACTAATAACGGTTGGTTTCCAGAAGAGAAACTAAAAGAAAAATAACATATTGAATTTCTCTTTCGGTGTAAAGAAATAAAAATACTTGGGTCCTAAACCCTCGGACTAGTAACATGTACGAATTGTTATAGCATAGCATGCATACGAACATCTGAGGGACTGAATTAAACTCATATGTACATGTAGGAAATTTTTTGCATATAGATATGCGAGAACTCTCACGTATGCAAGCAAGAAAAATCGTAGAATAATAAAAAAAAAGCACATGTGACAAACATATAAGATACTGTTTTAAATATAAGATTCGAACTACTATACCTCAATTTATAGGACAAATTTCTTCGCTACTTATTCGTCTACTTTAAAGAAAACATCGTACAAAGCCATTCGTACTTGATCTGTTTATTAAATAACTTTTCTAGTAGATAACGTCTCACGTTTTCTCTAGGTTTTCAGGATAGACTTCGATGTA